AATATTGGATAAGGCAACCTTGTTGTCATCAGATTTGGCCTCCTCTAAAATATTTTCTCTCAGACCTTGTAACATCCGCAATACCGGGTTAGTGATCAAATTGTAAAGTTTCAGAATTTGATGACTAAAGTAGAAGAATGAAATAATTCAATGATTATTTGAATATATTATGAAGGTTATTTAGTAATTATTAAAGGAAATTAAGGGTATTATGGTCTTTTCCTTTAAAAGATATTCTTCCCCCTTTTATAAGAGTGAAAAACGTGGAAAGAGAGCTATCTGGAAGCTTTCTTCTTCTTGCTTTCTCTTCTTCACGTGGGGCTTAGCTACAATAGGTAAGTTTAATTTCAGTTGGTTAATTCTTGAGTTTTAAGCTTAGTTTTGATTCTTTGGGTATTAAATAAGCTTAAGGAAAGCTTATATGGGATTTAAACAATAAGATAAAGGAATTAAGAAGGAATTTGCAATATGAGTTTTAAGATGAAATTTTGATATGGTATGGTTGTTGAAGTTTTATGGATGAATTTGACTTGTCATCAATCTAATTAAGAAGTATGAAATGTTAGAATTGGAATTAGAACACATTGAAAATTTGGTATGATTCTTGAATCTCATATGGAAGATAGGATTTTGAGGTTTAAGATGAAATAAATGAATATAGATTGGTTTAAGTATGTGTACTAGAGTTAAGAATGAAAAGGGGATGATTTATGAAGTGTTTGAGAGGAAATGAAGTAATTTTCGATTTAAAAATATGATTTCTGGGCCAGGGGAATCGGTACCCATTCAAGGGGAACCGATACCCCTTCAAACGAACAACATTTCCAGAATGTCATGAGGGAATCGATACCCCCATAGTAGGGAACCGATTCCCCCTAAAGGAAAATGTGAATATTGGTTTAATAAATTCGTTTAAGTTGCTAGTATCCAACTACAAGGTGTAGGTATCTAATGATTACCTCAAAATGTTCATTTATGTAGATTCTGCGCATAAAGCAAGTCCGGAACATTTGGCAAGTAAGATCGATCAAGGGAAAAATAAGAGATTGAAATTGACTAGTGAGACCAGGTGAGTGCATACTAGTGATATGTAGTGTTTAATGGAAATAAGACTTACGATGAGTCTATTTCCTAGAGTAATATGCATGAAGTCATGGACATGATTATGTGTGGTTATAATTATATGTGATTATCTGTATTACATTGATTGTATGTATGCATGACTAAAGATAATGATATGCTTTGTATATGTTATATGATGTATGTAAGACTTTAATATGTAATAATGGAAGAACATGAGATAAGTTATATGATAGAGTCATAAGAAATGAAATAAACATGAGAGAATAAGATAATCAAGTATAAGTTATATGATATGGTATAAGTGATTATACGAGAAATGTTAGGAGACTCTAAGAGAATAGTATGAATTCGAGGGCATAAATAAGGATACATAAGTTATATAGAGAAGATTGATAAATTAAAGGAAACTATGGTTTATGTATTATAGTGAAGAGCTACAAAGTTTTATTAAAGAGTATTGTGGAAGTCATGAGAAATTGAACTAAATAAATAGATGGTTTATGTGAATAAAAAGGGAAAATGATATAAAATAAGTTATGAAATTATAGGAATATAGAAGATAAGTCGAGAGATGTAGGGAAATAAAAATAGATGTTTATTAAGGGTCATAGGAGAACAAATATATGTAATATGATAATGAAATATAAGACTATGTGGATACATGATTATGAGATAAAATATGTAATAATAGGAAAATATGATGAAAGTGAGTTTATAAGAAGTGATATGAACTAAGTAAACATGGGTAACAGTATATGCCTAATGAAAACATGAGTTGGACAAATACCTAGTGGTATGATTTATTATGAGAATTAGTATAATGGAGCTATATGAAAAGATTATAATGAATATACGAAATTGAATTAAGTAAAAAGATTAAATTAGTACCTAAATAAAAATACTATTAAATGATATATGTTTAGAAATACGGCATAATTTATAATCTAAGGGAATACAAAGAAATAGAGCATAAGGTAGATAATATGATATCCGTTATTATATATCTATATGATATATGTCATCAGGTAATATGAAAGGACTCTGAAAATTGATATAAGCTAGGAGAAAGTGTTCTATGTGTTATATGAAGCATATATGATCATATGTGAACAAGATATGATATGTATGTTATATGAATATCTGAGAAATGATCTAAGCTATATGATATGATATGTGTGATTATGTGCACTTTGTGATATATGTTATATGATATGGATCTACGTAACTATGTGAGAAAGTATATAAGCTATGTGACATGTAAATGTGACTCATATGAAAATATTCTATGAGTAATTGAACTATGTTATGTGAAATGATAAGTATAAAGAAAATGCCCATGTTATGTGTCTTGAGAGCTAGGGGTATAGTTGGCATGCCAAGAGTAGAGGGTCTACGCGGTCCTTCGGGACAATATTCTACGCAGTCCTTCGAGATATATATATTCTTTGGAACATGTGTGAAGTCTGGTGAGACACATATATGATCCCTAGCATATGTATATGATTCTTAAGGAATTCTATGTGGTCCTTATGGACATCATATATGGCACTACGGTGCAATTCTACGCGGCACTTCGGTGCATTTATACGAGCTGTGGTGACAGCATAGTGCACAACCTCACAATACTCAGATACCTTAGGTTCTCAATATGATATCATGGGCCAATAAACTCATTAATACAAATTCATGAATGTTAAAGTAATATGCTTACAGGTATGGATATTGGTGATATGAGAACAATGTATGTGATATATGTATATGTATATGATTTGTGATATGATGTGCATGATATGATATATCTGTGATAGGGGTAATGGTATCTGTTACATAATATGCATGAATATATGTTGATGTATATGTAAATGAGTTGTATAATTTGATAGCATAAAACAGTCATGCATGATTAGTGGGTATGAATTCCATTAGATGTGTTTTCTTTGTGCCTCACTAAGTCTTCGACTTAGCGTGTGATTGTTTCACACGTAAGTTTCAAGAAGAGTAAAGAGTAATGCGGAGCAAGACAGGTCAGTTCTCCTTACCAAATGTCAGATCAGAAAATATATGTACTGTATATAGAGTGAAGTTGGCATGTAATCTAAAGATATAAATTGTATGAACTTTGATATATTTTGTAAACGTTTTGAATAAGTTAAATGTTATCAAAGTTTTTGAATTACTCACTATTTTATACGAATAAATGTTTGAAAAGTCAATATGACACTTCGGACTCGTATCCGGGTCGGATACGGGTTGGGGTGTTACAGACCTAGCCCCACGTGACCTCCCACTTGGATTGACCTACTTTCCACAGAACCTGAAAGCCCACAATTAGAGTTTTCTGCATTTGACTTCCTTGATGCAGCCTGTCCCCCACTAACTCCATTCATATCACTGTTATGGCCCTTATTCAACCATGAGATAACTTTCTGCCTAGAAAACTCTACTGGCTCTTCTCTGTCAACTGCCATAGCAGGAACACAATCATCCCCTGCCTCAGAAAAGACATAATCACTGTTCAACTTATTTGAAATTTTCTCATCCATCTTTCTCCCCTACTCCTTCGACTGAATCAACACAGACCCCATGGAAATCTTAACTTTGAAAGATCTACCATAAGAGCCTACTGTAACTAAATCAGGAACATCGAATGGACTCTTCACCCTAAGCAAAACCTTTGCAAACGAGAGATCATATCTATGTTTTGATTCATCCTTGAAACAAATGAACCTTCCCCATTTCCCTGTAAGTTTCTCCAGGAAAGCCTCATTCCAGCACAGTAAAGGCAAACCACACAATTCTAACTGGCACAACGACAAAGGTATTCCATTCTCATTTAATACCGGAGCTAACCAATCGAAACACGAGGACAGCTCTTCCATCTTATTCTCCCAAACATAAGAGAATTCTTCAACCGAGGCAAATGTGATGATACAAGCCTTCCAAGCATATCCCCAACGCAACACCTGAACTCTCAATCCCTCCAACTCCCAAGCTTCTTTTAACGACTCGTACTCATAAGATGATTTCATTATACCTGTTAATGAACGTTTAACCCATTCTGAATCGTTAGTCGAAATATGCATCTCCCACACATTCTTCACACCAGAAGTTGTCCGCTTCCTACCCTCCACATCTCTATTTAATTCCTCAAGAAGGCTAACCCCACTGTCTCCAGATCCATTTGGATTACCACTAGTGCCATCTGTAAGCATGGTCACAATGCACTTTATGGTGTCTTTTCTTCCCCTCAAGTAGTCCCTTATTGGTTCACCAACAGCTTCAAGAAAAACACCAGCTGGGTCTATGGTCCGGAGTACCTTGATTGTTGAAACATATTGATGTAATATGTCATTGGTTGAGGCACCCGCAGTAAGTAAGCGGGTATCTTAGTGCAGAAAGAAAAGATTCAACCAGCTTAGAGTGCTGTCCAGTATATTTTAGACACTGCTTCAAGTCTTCAATTGCAGGAGAACTGTAATAGTCTAGTCCGGAATAATTTAAACAGTGAGGAATTTCCACGAATATTTTCTATTGCATCACCAACATCCATTCAAGCAATGAACACAAAAAACAGAGGCAGTACCTTAAGATATATAACTCCGTCTGTCTTCTTTCGCCCTAAATTCAGAGGGACGAGAAAGGGTGGGGGGGAGGGGACAACCCTTCTAGGGGAGATTCTTTTAAGAATGTCACAAATCAATGCAAAATATTTTTTCACCCCTTCCGTGCAAAAGGATTTTGAGCTACATAACGAGGGGTAACTGTGCCCCTGTCATAACCTCACCCTGCCCTCAAAAGTCAGAACTATAACTTTCTTGGAAAGAGAACTATTAAAACTCATCAAGATTCACCTTATTTTTTTGGGGTGGGGGTGTTGAACTGGAGGAAAAATGAGAAGTGAACAGATAAAGTGATACCTATCAGGATAGTCGACAATAATCTCAAACAATTTGGCAATCCTTAAGTCTTGCAATGTTTCATAAGCAAAATACTCTAGCCGCAATTTCCATCTAATGAGTCCTGATGATGGAGTACTTGTTCCAAAATAGCCTGAAGATGGTTGTGAAGCCAGAGGTGATTCGGTACCAGGTGAATGTTGGACAAAACTAATAGAATCACCAAGATAGGCAAGCAATGCATTCAAGAATTGCAGAGGAACGACCTGTGCAATATTCTCCAAATGTAAGGAATAATCTCTCAGTAACTTAACCATAGGAGAACATAATAGCAAGTTAATAAAACCGGAAACAACATGAAATCTTAAAAAATACTTTTATATTAGACCAAAATTACTAGCAAGATTAACAAGTCATCCATGATTTCTTACAGTTGTTTTCAATGAAAAGGGAAAACGTAAAGGATTCACAAACACCAAAACAACCTGTATCCAACCCTTAATGGAATCCAAAACAGAACTCCGGTAATCATCACCTGCCAGATCATGTACTTTAGCCTGTATGCAAATAAGGAAAGAATACTGTTTCAAATAATGTAAATTTATAAAGCTTGAAGCATGACATAACATAAGATTTTCTTAAAGAGAATCATTAGAAAAAGAGTGATACAAATTTGAATAGCAAAAGATCAGATAACTACGTTGAGCTCAATGAGATAAGCTGTGCATACATATTTTAAAATAATAACAAGCCCACCTTCAGAAGCATGAAGATAGCAGAAGCATAGGCATCTTCAGTCATGGATGTGAACCCAAGATTTCGAAGATCGCAAACAACCTTCCCAATGTTCTTCACCAACTTATTGTTCTCAGAAAACTTGTCTTGGGAATAGCACTCGTCAATATCCATTTCACCAGTTCTATATTTACTCTTTCATCCAAATGCATCTTATCTCTATCTGGTCGCTCATTTTCCTCGTTCCATTCTCCATCTATTACGATATTTAACTCCTCCAGCCTTCCCTTAAAATAAAAGTGAAGCACCTCTAACAAAATCAATGAAATTATCAGCTAATAATCAAATAATAGAACCCAGTTATGCAAAAAACTTCTTTTTACCAAAAAGCTTGTAATTTCTTACTGGGGAAATGTGGAGGAAGGTTGGCCATAAGCATGGAAGAAACAACTAATTGATACTTTGAAAAAAGATAGTCTTTTCCCACATCAAAGTTGGGCTTTTCATTAGATAAATTATCCACATAGGATTGTAAAGCATGAACTAACATTAACAAGCATTTCTCTTGATTTTCCTTTTCCAAACAAATCTCCTCCAGAGCATTACAAAGCACTGTTTGAATCTCATCCTCGTCAATCTTATATAAATCTTCTTCGATTTTGCTATAGTTCTCAAAATGGCGCCAAAATCTCGAAGCCCCATTTTTCTCAAATGTTTCCTATAATTAAAAAAAATGCAATCAATAAAAACCGATATTTTTAGAGACTTATTAGCTTAGTCGATTATTACCTCAAGTGACCTAAGAAAATAGTCCCGAGCGAGACTACGGAGGCCGTGTTTGCAGAGAGTTTGAACGTGGGAAAAGAAGTCGTGTTCAAAGGAGAGATCACGGGAGCCGTTGAGGAGAGATTTAGCTGCAGCGCAGAAATCGTCGTAGCTTTGGAGGATTTCTTGGAGGGTGTCGTCATTGAGACTCATCAAAGTCCCTATATTTCCCACTGGAGAATAAGTTGATGCCTCCATCACTGATGATAATTATGAGAAAACAACTCAATGTTTTCTCCTTGCTTTGAAAACCCTAGCTTACTCCTTACTGCTTCAACTTAGAACTGAACACTGGAAATTTTAGTTCCAGTTTTTTTTAGAATTCTTCTTTACCGCCACTGCCCACGAAACGCGTTGCTCTACTTCCACCAAAACGACGCATGAAAGGTGTCGTTTATATTTTAAAACAGAATGACTTTTGGACTAATTTTGATCTTGATCCCTCCAAGTCCACCATCCTCAAACTAATCCGACATAAATCAGTGGATTAATAACGTTTTTGACACTCAAGCTTTTTGAAAAAGTCATTTTAACATGAAGATACAAAAAATTGTAAAAAAATGCAATATTTGGACACAACTTTGCTTATTGTTAAATACAGTCATACTTGATTCATAGTGTCCAACGCTTCAATTATGCAATCCATCTCTACTACTACGGTCTGCTTCCTACGTAGTTTTTGATGGCATCTTCCCCATGCAAGCTTAACCCTGTTTCGATTTGCAGCAGCTATGTATGGTGGCGAGGCCTTGCCCTCGACGGCAAATGCCGAATAGGTTTCTGGTTTTAGGTTTTCTAGTTTTTTTAAACACTGGTATTTGATATACTGAACGATTATTTCAAATCGAATTTTTTATAGGTGCAATTATCAGGATAATCCTCCTAACTTAGTTTATTTCATGTAAAATTTGGATTCGAAATCCTAACTTTGAGTAAGGGATCTAGTACCCATCTTATTAAACCAACTTATTATTGATTAGATGTTCCAATATAATGACTATTTTTTTACTAGAATCGCGCATGTGATGACTATATTTATGTTGTGTGGTGCGATATATATTTCTATGATATATTTTTGTATTAAATCATTGGTTTAATTTGACTGCCTAACTATACATCACTTTTGCTATAGGATGATATGAATTAGTTATTCCATATTAAGTTTCCACCAACAATGATTAAGTGAAAAAGAAATTAGGTGAGATTTGATTATTATTGGTGTGAAAGCAGCTTCCTTTTTTTTTTGGGGCTTCAAAATACGTAGTCAAGAAGTACAAGTTGTGTTCTAAAATATTTTAAAAAAAATCTGAAAGTTTTGTTAGTTAAAAGTTTAATAAATTTCATGTTATTAAAATTAAGTTTTGATGTTTTTCAACCTAAACACACAAAATGAGACTTGAAATTATTCTGGATTCAAAATATCTATAAGAAAGTCGAGTATAGAATTATCAACTTGGTCCTTAAGTGAAGGCTTAGTTCAAAGAAATAATAATTTTGGTTCAAGGGTGATAAAATTGGTCATGTAACCCCCTAGACCCGGCCTATGCGTTTCGACTAAGTCTAGTGGATCACATTATGATTATTAAAGACATTTTTCGCAACCGTTATTCCATCAATATAAAATCACATTATAAATAACATGAAATTATAAACAAATTATACTATCAAAATCCAACTCGTAAATATAGTACAAATAAATAATAATTTAATTTAAAACATGTCTTCAAATTCAAAATCACAATAAACCGAGCAGTATTAGCAAAAGAGTTATCATTATAAAATCCGATATTTTAAAATAAGGTCCATGTCACCAAAATAAAATCAACTTGCCATATAAGAACATTACAATCTGATTTACTTCAAGAGATATGTTGATCCTCCAAGTGCTCGAACCAAGGTATCTAACCAACAGTATCTGAAAGGGGGAAACATTTTCAAAAGGTGAGCTAGGCTCAGTGTGTCCCAACATTTCCATAAAATCACAATAGGTACAAATCATAGTCCAGTAATCTCACAAATTCGTAAAAGAGTTTAACTTTTTGAAAATCATAGTTTAAACCCTTTTCTGGTACACCATCAGTAGTTCCCAAAATTATTTTCCATATAGCTTACTTTATGCACATAGCAAAAAGAAAGCCGACTTAAGGATAGGCTCTGAAGCTTGTATCCTTAAGCCCAAGTCAATAAGTCCATATAGCTTACCCTAAGCACACAACAAAGGAAAGCCGACCTAATGAAACATCTTGGGGCCCTCAAGAGTCACATTAGGCCCAGTTAGCTTGATCAGAGCTATTCCATCGTAATTCAATTCCAAAATTCAATTGCACCGTGACATAAATTCCATAAATCCAAAAACATGGTAATCATATACCATTTCAAAACAAAAATTTGATATCAGCCATATTCCATAAATTGTCACATTAAATTGGTGCATCCATAAAACAATAACCAATGAATTCGGTGTACCACATATTAAAACCAATAAAACAGTTCAATAATAAGTAGGGAACACACCTCGACAATAGATTCAAATACAAATCTACTGATTGCTGGTTTCACCACGCTCTGCTACAGTTTTCGAACGGGTGAATACTGGAACACGTGGTTTAACTGATCTAGAAGAGTTGGGTCGAGCTGTCGAACGATCCGGAGAGTCTCTTGTACCTTCAAACAATAATATTTATCAGTCTCAAATCCTATTTAATTGTTCAAAGCTAAACTTCTTAAGTATATACGCATTTTTCGGGTTTGAATATCAATTTGAGGTATTTCGAGTCTGAATTTGGCCAAACGGATTGTGGAATCGGAATCAGGGCGTCGAAAAACATAAAGTATGACTTTTCGAAAATTCAAATTCTTGGTCAAAGTCAAAGTCAACCACTTTGACCGTAGATTTGGAGACCTTCGGATTCGAATTTGACAAAACGGACCACGGAAACGGATTCGGCACGTCGAAAACTATCAGGATAGGTATACTCGGAAAAGATTAACGGTCGTTTAATGCTTGGTCAAAGCCATTCTAAGTTTTGGTCAAAGAAAGTCAACGGTCAACGGTCAACGGTCAGATCGGGTCGGGTCAACGGTTGGGTCGGGTCGTGTCAACGGTCGGGTCGGGTCAGACCGGTCAAACCGGTCAAACTGGTTCGAACCGGTTGAAACCGGTCAAACCGGTCAGAACCGGTTGTAAACCGATTAAACCGGTTTCCAGCAGCCACTCGCCCTGCGGCGGCGCGTGTGGCGCGTGAGGCGTCCTCCGGGGCCCTAAAAATCCCGGAAAATTTTCTAAAAATTATTTTGAGCGATTTCAAGATACTTACAACGATCGGTTCAAATTTTTGAACGGCGGAGAACTCGATTTCAAATCGGCCGAATCTTTGACTGCACCACCTCCTCACGCGCCGCCGTCTACGGCGGACAAGGTTGACACCGGTGAACTCGGAACGGCACAAGGAACACGATGGTGCGGGAGGTGTCGTAAACGGAGTAACGATCAGCGGTGAATTTAAGATTTCCTCGGCGATAGAGCTAAAAAACCGTCGCTACTTTGACTGGAAATTCCCGACGTTTGGCCGCGTTTCGCTTCAATTAGTTTGAAGGGTTGGTTCCTCGCTCGATGATGAACACAACGGTGGTTTCAAAACAACGATCGGAATTCGGACGGCGTTTGGATCGGACTTGAAAATGGAGGTGTGAGAGGAAGAAAATTGAAGAAAAGCTTTTGTGTTTTCTGATTGAAATCAGAAAACACGTTAGTTATAACAAACTTGCCGACACTTTTAGGGGAAATTCAGGGCTTGGTCCCTGAATTTCCTTTACTTTGAAAATGGCATACAAGTTTTCATAAATTATACTTCAGTCACTTAATTTCACCCATTTTCACAATTTACCTCCAATTTCATTTAAATATTATTTTGAAAATCGGGTTGTTACAATTCTCCCCCTCTACAAAAAATTTCGTCCTCGAAATTTACCTTATGAGAATAGTTGAGGAAACTGAGCCTCCATTGACTCCAATGTCTCCCAAGTAGCTTCTGAGGGGCCTCGATTACTCCACTGAACTTTGACCATTGGAATTCGTCTATTCCGAAGAACTCGTTCATCTCTCTCCAAGATCTGAATGGGCTCCTCTTCATATGACAAATCAGGTCTCAACTCTACTTCTTCAACCTGAATAATGTGACTTGGATCTGGACGGTATCTCCTCAACATTGATACATGAAAGACATCATGAATACGACTTAGCTCAGAAGGCAACTCAAGCTGATATGCAACAGGTCCTACCCTCATCAAGATACGAAATGGTCCAATAAATCTTGGACTCAATTTACCCTTACGCCCGAATCTCAATACTTTCTTCCAGGGTGAAACTTTCAAAAAGACCCGATCTCCCATTTCAAACTGTATATCCTTCCTTCTTTGATCTGCATAAGATTTCTGCCTATCAAATGCCTCTTTCAGACGGTCACGGATTAATCTGACTATGTCCTCCGTCTCTCGCACTAACTCAGGTCCCAACGTTTTCCTATCACGCAACTCAGTCCAACAGATCGGAGTGCGACATTTACGCCCATAGAGCGCTTCATAGGGTGCCATACGAATGCTGGTCTGATAACTGTTATTGTAAGCAAATTCAGCCAACGGCAAAAAGTTCTCCCAACTACCATGAAAATCGATTACGCAACCCCGCAACATATCCTCCAGAATCTGAATTACTCTCTCAGATTGACCATCAGTTTGTGGATGAAAGGATGTACTATAATCCAATCTTGTTCCCAAAGCCGTATGTAACGCCTTCCAAAATCTCGAAGTAAATCTCGGATCTCGATCAGAAATAATAGACAATGGAACACCATGCAATCTGACAATCTCTGAAATATACAATCTTGCCAGCTTATCCAAAGTATAATTTACTCGCACAGAAATGAAGTGAGATGACTTTGTAAGTCTGTCAACAATCAGCCAAACTGAATCTTTTTTCGAAGGAGTCATCGGCAAGCCAGTAACAAAATCCATAGTAATACGCTCCCATTTCCATTCAGGAATCTTGATAGGCTGTAACAAACCTGATGGATGTTGATGTTCTGCCTTAACTTGCTGACAAGTCAAACACCTAACCACAAAGTCAGATATGTCTTTCTTCATACCAATCCAATAATACCTCTCTCTCAAATTCCGGTACATCTTATCTCCTCCGGGGTGCATAGCATATGGACTACTATGAGCCTCAGTAAGGATAGTCTGCCTCAACTCAGCATCATCAGGCACACAATATCTACCTTTAAAGCATAAAACTTCATCCTG